GAAAGTTTCTCTATGCATTTTTGATTGTTCTCAATTGTTTGGCAATTGTTGCAGGGTATCTCATGGTCCATTACCCTGCTCTGCGGCAAAATGTTCTCCATTGCAGCTCTTGCACGGAATTTGGTCCTGTGTTTTTCTCTCTATTTCTATATTTCTGTGTTTTTGTTAGACTTGGCAAACAGCATATAGATTTGTGTTTCTGATTTTTATTGCAGCCGAGTGCATCGATTATACTAACAGCAAATTGAACTAATAAACGAGATTTATAAATAAATGCTTGCCGCAAGGCCATTGATATTTATTTTCGGAATATGCATCAAATCCAGACCGACGTAAACAAACTGAATCTGAAACTGAATCCGAACCCATAAGTAATACCATGTCAGGTGTGCATTTGGGCATAAATATTCCCGTCTGTATCTTATCGGGCTGCCACACACAGACGCAGACGCCAAAAAAAAAAAACCAAAAGTTGCAATCACCATTGATGTGGCCTTTGCAATTTGAATTAATACGAAGAAAGAAAGGAAGAATTACCAACACAAAGGCAGCGACAGCACCAGAAGCAGCAGACGCAGACGCAGGAACAGACGAAGGCATATCATTTCATTTACAGCTTAATTTATATATTGCTCGGCAAATAAATACTCGTAAAATGATGAAAATGCATACTGGGAAGGGCAGAATCCAAGAGAAGCATCAGAGCAGCAGGCGGCAAAGTAGCTCCGTGCAGAGCAGGAGTCGCTTCTGGAGAGGGACAAACGAAAATTAATGACAAAATTTAATGGACACTTGTGTGTGCCACGCCCTCGAGGCGCCCCCGCCGAGAGTGCGTGGATATGTTTACACACACTTGTGTAGTTGTACACGCAGTACACGCTCCCCTTCATCCAGGCAACCCACCCAACTGGCAGCGAAGTTTACTTATACAGTTAAGTATGCGTCGTATTTAATGGAGCGAAATTGCATGCCACGCTGTAGCAGCAGCAACTGCAGCAGAACAAATGCGCGAGCGAGGACAAACAACAAAATGTTAAGATTGTCTGAAGGCAGCCGCTTATGAAGCACCCTACTCGAAGAAGGGACTCGAAGGACAAACTTAATAACGTCGGAGCTGACGGTTGAGCGGTTGGGTTTGTGGCCAGATTGTCTGTAGTGTCTGCAGTGTCTGCAGTGTGTGGTGTGGTGTGGTGTTCCCTGATTAGCTACAGGTTATCCTGAAGAATGACGCGAGCAAGTGCCAGTATGTTGTAATGAAGCCTGAACATGAAGCTGACAGCTCGGCAAAGAGCTGTTGGAATAGTTGAAGTGGCTCCAAAGAACAGTAGAATAAGTTTTTGGCCATCTAGACGGCGGCTTGTTAAGCTGGTACCTGAACTATTTCGAAAAATGCATCCTTTTAGGCAGCTTTTTCGACTCAGCCTCATCCGATGAGTGCTCGGCAAAAAGCTGGCTTATACTTAACCAACTCTTCTGAGTAGAAGACGTCGCCTTATGCAAAAGAACTTTCAGCTCATTAACTTAAAAACTTGTGCCGCTCTCGAGCGCGATCTCAGGATTCGTCTTAATACTTGTGCCGGCAAGGCATCCATGAGGCATCCAGCCAGCATGCATGACAAAGCCCTCGCTGCAGCACCGCAGCACTGCAGCACAACTACCTGAACCTGCCGGAGATGTACTGAGCCGAGCTGTTTCTGTGTAGAGCACTTAAAAAAATACCGCAGCATTTTTAATTTACTACAGAAATTACAAACGAACGTCGGGCGGACGGACACGGACCCTAGTACTACTCTGAGCTCCGAGCTCTGAGCTCTGAGCTCCAAGCTACGTGCTGTGCAGCGTGAGAAAAAGTGTTTTTCTTGAAAGGAGAAGGAAAACAAACTGCAGAGGCATAAGCATCAGAACCAGCACCAGCAGTCGGGAAAGAGGGAAAAAAATGAAAATATAAATAAATAAACCGAGGTCGAATGCGCTCATTCATGTGCTGCCGCTGCTGCTTCTGCTGCTGCTTCTGCTGCTGCTTCTGCTGCTGCTGCTGCACTCTCGTCCTGCACTCAAACATTACGCCCAGTCAGTCAAGTCACTTTGTCATTCCGAGTGGAGCCGCAGCATCCAGCTCACACATTTGCATGACGTCAGAAGTCGATGAGGGAGCCGGAGCCAGAGCCGGAGCCGGTATGCAGAAAGCAGAAAGCAGGATACGGGATATGGGATATGGGATACACAGAGATGGAGCTATGGAGCGCCGAGATGGAGATGGAGTTTTTGCGGGCGTCTGAATTCTTCATTTTAATTTTTTCGTTCGCCAGAGTCGACGTTCTTGTTGGTTTTGTGCTGGCAGCGTGTATATTTAATTAAAACAGGATTAATCTAGCAGAAACAATACTTCACTAAATGCAGCAACAGCAGCAGGCTGCTCTGCCTGTGGTCCAGACCCGAACCCCAGCCCCAGCCCCAGGCCTGGCTCCAGCTTCAGCTTCGCCTGCTGCCTGCGGCTTGGCTAACAGACTCGTTGGTTTGCCTAGCAGGCGGATTTGGGGGGTCGGTGGTCGTGGAGGCTGCTCGACTGGTCCGGGCTTAACACAAACAATGGCGTTGACTGCTACACATAGGCACACACACTCTCGTTCGTGGAAGTGGTAGTGGGAGTGGCAGGGGTGGTGGTGGAAGGGGAGTGCGTTCTTAATGCACTGCGACCCCAAAAAGTAGACTACACTTTTTGATACGTTATGCATATCCCTCAGAGGCGCCGTCGACAGCTTAGTAGCGGGCTTTCCATCATTCAACTTCAGTGTCGAGCGTTGCGCTGCACTGCGTTGCGTTGCCAATCAAGGAAATTGCGTGCTCACATGTTAAACGGTGGACAGGAGGACAACCGGAGGGAGGTACAGGAAAGAAAACAGGAAGAGGATCAGCGAGAAAGAAAAACAGCAAAGTGGGTAAAACGTTTTTTCGGCCATTTACTATCGACTTTAATTAATATTTACCTTCAGCTAGCTTCCGCTACCCCCGTCCCCCGTACGCCGTCCCCCGTGACGACCTCTGCCGGCTATTAGCCGGGGCAAACAGTTTTAACAGCTTTCGGGATGTTTCATTCGACTTTGAGACCATCACCATCATCGGCCACATCAAAACTTGACTGGAGCACAAGTCAAACGGAGGGCAAATAAACAAAATATATGCCAAAGCAAGTTTTAGCTCTTGCTTCATTTTTAATATTTTGACCGAAAGAAAAACAACTCAAACAAAATGGAAAAAGACGAAGAAGTGCCAGTGCCTGGGCCAGAGCCAGAGCCAGAGCCAGAGCCAGAATGAAATCCAAGAGCCAAAAACCAAGAACCAAGAACCAGAACAAGAGCCAAACCCAGCAAAAATCCACACCAGGAAGTGCTCAACACAGGCAATGCCAACAGCAACAGCAATAGCAACAGCACCAGCACCAGCACCAGAAGCAAAAACAACGGCAACATGAGTCGAAATTGTAGTTGTACAAACACGTCAGCTTTTAAATTACTTGGCCTAAAGGTAAATTGAGCGGAAGTTAAAATGTTGGAAAAACAGCACGAAAAAAGCAAAACCAAAACAGCAGCAGAAGCAAGAGCAGGAGCACCACCATCATCAGGTAGTGGGGGCAGTCGGTGGATTGGTGAATTGTGGATCGCGGGGGAGGGGGGAGGGCGTAACGGAATACAGCAAGGCCAGGAAGGAACGTTAAGTGGGAAAAGGAAGGAGCGGTATCCATACCAACAACACTGGGACTCGGAGTCGCAGCAGGAGCCGAGGAGCCGGACCAAGAGCAGGAGCCAGGCGGCACACGGCAAATTTGCCGGGAGTAAACGCAAGAATAATAACAACCGAAAGCAAGTTTTTCGGCTCAAGTTGTTGTTGCTGCCGATGTTTCTGCTGCTATGAAATTCAGTGGCATACAAAACGTAATTTCAACTAAACGAACCGACAAACAGAAACAAACAAACAGAACAACAGCAACAGAAACAGAAACAGAAATAGCAACGAAATATTATTTTAGCTGGCTTGCATCCTTCCTGAAGCCTTGCGGCTACCATGAGCTGCTTCTCCCCAGCCCCAACCGAGTCCTCGCATTCGCATGCGAGCGGGATAAGTTGGCGAAATTGTGCAATAATAAAATATTTGCAATGTACTCGAAGCGCGGCCGCCGACTCGAGGCTGCCCCCGCCAAGCGCCACACGCCTCGCGTTCCCCCACGCAGTGGCAGTGGCAGTGGCAGTGGCAACTCTAACGACAGCGGGATGGCAACTGCATTTTCATAAAGTGCAGCTCATAATAAACCTGCGGGTGGCTGGCAGGCAGATCGGTGTGTATGCCGCGGGGCCGAAATAAAAAGGGAAAACAAATATATGGCCAGCAGCCAGAGGCAGCCAGAGGCAGCCAGAGGCAGCCGAGGCGACGCAACGCATCGCGGCGGCAACAAGCCGAGCCAGAACAAACAACAATGGTAAGACGAAAAAGGAACTGAGCTGAACTGAACAGAAGAGAAGAGAGCAAAGCGAAACAAAACCATGGAGGACCAAAATATAATAAAGCCCGCGAAAATATTTGCAGCGGGCATTGAGAAATGTTGCGCAATAAAAATTGCATTTTTATGCTGATGTTTGAATTTCGCATGCAAATGAAAAACGAACAGTGCCAACCGAAAAATAACGGTCAGGACTCACGTACAACTAAGCGATTCGACTGCAGGATACCCGATATCTGGCGCGATATTCCAGACAACATACACGTCTCTGGGAGATATTGCCCTTAAAGTGAAATCTTATTGGCAATGCAAGTCAACGCGTAAGTTATCTGGAAATAGTCTTTGCGACTAAATCGAATGCATCCAATATACCCCTGATACCTTCTGTACATCGCGGAGACAACCAGAACAGAGGCAGCAACAAAATGGTCTGGAAAAAAGGCCAGGCTAGGAATCTCTGGGCCGGAAGTGCCGTTGCCGTTGCTGTCGCCGCTGCCGCTGCCGCTGCCGCTGCTGCTGCCGCTGCCAGTGTCAGCCTGCTTCGCGGCTTAGCTTAGACTTTGCGCCCACGCTCCACGTGTTTATGACTTTGAATTGCAACTTCATCCGCCGGGTGTGCCACTAACGTTGTTGTAGCTGTAGCCAGAGCCAGAGCCAGAGCCAGAGCCAGAGCCGTAGTCAGAGTCATAGTCATAGCTGTTGCTGCTCCTGCTGCTGCTGCCGTGTGCCTTGTGCCGTGTGCCTTGTGCCGTGTGCCGTGCCGTTCGCTGTCGAGTGCAATGATGGCGGCGCATAGCGCGCATTGTGACGCGAAATGGCGTCGAGCTGAATAATCCAACATGGCGTTTTGCCGCCGCCGCCGAGGGCTCAGTATTTGTGTTGTGTCTGTGCCTATGTGTGTGTGTATGTCGGTGAGCCATGAGCTCTTGGGTTTGTGTGTGTTGTGTTGTCTGTTTCCGGCAGCCGGATAAAAAACTTGGCGTTAAAGTGTTAATATTTTGAGTTTTGAGAGCGTCGTGCCGTAGTCGAACCGGCAGGACTGGAAGAACTGGCAGGACATGCAAATGCTGTACAACAACATCTGAGAATGGGCGTAAAGGGGTGGGCGGCGGGCGGCGGGGGCCACGGGCTGCGGAGCGACAGCTTCGACGCTGTTTCCCCTCGACGCTGACACTTGTTCAATTCAAATAGCACGCCAGAGCCCCGACATTGATGTCCTGGCACGGCATTTCGCCGGCGCACCACTCCGCTCCCCACAGCTACAGCCTCGCCGCCATGGCGTGCCAGCCGAGCCGCATTTATGTTATCTTTAATTTTTCATGACGAAATTGGCCGTGGGAGTGCAGTTCCGATTGCAAGACTCCTCGTACAAGCTTGTTTACGAGTATGGAGTATGTGTATTGCAACAGGAGTCGATGGCGGCCCCCAAACGAACTGCCATTAAGCGACGAGTCGCTTTACTTCCTCCCTTCAGATGCCAAGTTAGTTCATGTTTTTACTTCAAAATGCAAATCGCTTTTGGCGCTCTGTTTAACACAGATACCAAGATGGATACAATAATTAGTATTCGGAATTGAAGGCAACAGCTACATCACCTTCGGATGACTTAGAACCAAAGAACACATTGCAAAGGCTGCAGGCACTCCATTCCTCGGAGCACAATGGATATGAAGAGCAACCTGGGCGTATCGCGGCAGTCCGTTACGAGGTTTAGGTTTAGGTCTGGTTACGAGCCACAGAGGTTTAGGTTGCTTAGACCAGCTTAGATCAAACTTTTCGTGCAGTAAGTTCTATATAGAAATTATGATTCAATTATTAAAACATATTTTTCATAAATTAGAAACATCGTCATGTGGTTAAGCTACTATCTTAATACTTAAGATGTTCACTGTAATTCACATAGATTTCAAGCAGTCTCTAGTATATAAAATTACAGAATTTTCTGACAAAACAGACTTGTGGAAGTGGAAGCGCTGGCTTACAAAGTTCATTGGTATTCATATGCCAATTAATTTTGCCTTATTCTCAGAGCTCCGTTTTTGGTAAATCTCTGAGCTGATTGAGCGGTGTAATTTTCCGTTTTACTTAAAAATTAATTATCAGCCAACCGAATCTTGCTGTTGATTTTGGCGAACAGCCCGGACCGGACGGGACGACCAGGCTGGTCATGTCACATTAACCATACGCACTGTGTGCATAGCGCATAACTGCAGGCCAGCCAAGCAATCAACCGAGCTGCCCAGCGCCCCAGCGCCCCAGCTCCCCGTCGCTCCACATCCCTGGCACCCAACCAGCCAACCAGCCAGCCAACAAACCGACAAACCGACAAACCAATCCCAGAGTCCAGGCAGGCCAACAACTTGCCAGACAGCAGGAGAAACTGTGCAAATTGTCAGGCCAGCATTTAAAACCAGTTCCCATCAATTTAAGCGGACATATGCTTAACTTTACTTGCGGTGATTTTTCAACTTGGCCAAGAGCAGCGTTGCAGCTAGCTGCAGCGGCAGTACCTGAAACCTCCCCTCTTTTCACTCTTCCGCTCCACTCACTCACTCACTCACTCACTCTCTCTCTCTCTTCATCCGAGTCTGTCTGGAGTGCTTTGCACATTGACAGCGTTAATTAACTTTTAATTTAATTTCGCGTAAATGAGTTTTTACTGTCAGCGCGCGTTGCTTTATTTAAGCTGACAAAAAACGTAATTTGCAATACAAGAGGTTTGGACCGTTGGATTGGTCGAAGCCGGAGGACTGCAGTGGAGCCCCGATCCGATAGACGGGAGAGCGGGGGAGAGTATGCTTTTAAGAGCGGTTTACGAATGTGGCTACGATGTCGCCAGCCAGTGTCAATTTATGCCGCCAAAGTGAAAATCCAAGCTGAAAGATTTATGCAGGCGACACACACATACACACATGCATGCATAAATACATACATACATACTCGTATATATGTACATGTATAGGTATTATTTATATTTTTCGCTGGAAAATGTGATTTATTCGAAAATCTGAGCAACAACAGAAAAAGCAACAAGCATCACTGTCGCTGGCTGTGCGTGTGAAATATTTTGCAGCGTTTGAGCTTTTTAAATTCAATTTCCAGCGCACACACATACACGGATACATACCAATGGAAAGGCACCAGCACACCACCAGCACAAGGATGTGGTGCAAGGAGAGGGAGATGCAGAGCGAGATTCAGATGCCGTTGGCAATGTCGGCGTCGCCGTCGCCGTCGACGTCGACGTCGAATACCACTGCCAGCAGCAGCCGTTGCATAAATAAGCGCTTTAGACCACTGTGCCGTCAGAAGAGGGAGCGACGGGACGGAAAGCGAGAGCGAGAGCGAGCGAGTGAAAGAGAAAGAAAATCAAGGGAGGCCCCACAGAAGGTGTGTGTTTTATTAATTGCCAGCGCCAATGCCACAGCCGCCGCAGCAGCCACGATGGAGAGAAATATGCGTGCAATGCACGCATGCGGTTCCTTCAGTTTCCACGTTTCATTTTTTGCATTCAGCCCTCCGCTCCGCTCCGCTCCGCTCCGCTCAGCTCAGCTCAGCTCAGCTCAGCTCTCCTTTCCAGCACTCACCGCACAAAGTGGTGCTCTCGACGAGTCCGCGAACGCGTCCGAGTGCCCGCCACGTTATATCGTTAATGAAAACTGATTCTAGTGTCATTAACGTGCGAGCTTTTCAGACCAATGGCTACACGTTCGAGTGCAACGCGAGCAGGAGTATCTTCAGGCCTCAGTATCCTCCACGTCCACATCCTGCTTCTGCTTCTGCTCCAGCTGGGTCTCACTGTTGGTGCCATCGGTGCCACCGGGCATGACGAGTCATTTAAACTGATGCGTCGCCGACTGAGTGAGCAACTGATTGCGCTCTGCCACTCGCCCTGTCTCTGTCACCATCACCATCACCATCACCATCACTGCCACTGCCATCTCGCTCTCCTTGCCCCTTTCCCTCCGATGGCTCCCCTTCATATTGTCCTTCTCGTTACGGAACCTGCTGACGACTTAATGACAGTCATACAAAATACGACAACGGTGCGAAAATTGCAAGGCTCCGGCGCTGCAGCGGCGCCCTCGATGATTACCTTTTAATGCAAATACGTATACAAAATGAAAGAACAACATAAACGATCGCAATGCGGAGAGTCGACGTTCAAATGCACTTAGTGATCTTCGTAAAGAAGTTTATTTTTTCTTTTAAATACAGATATTCGTTTAGATTTAACAAATACTAAAATAGTATTGGAAATGATAAAACAAATACAGATTTTTAAAAGCGAATAGTTTAAAATGTTGTGGATATTGTGTAGCATTCGGTAAAGTATTTCTCCAAGCTTAAGTTTAATTTTCCATTTTTTGCATTTAACATTGTCATTACATCGTTCCATGTAACTAGCGACCAAAGTTACATTCAAAACAAGGCTAGAACTGGTTGCAGATGGGGGCGGAGGAATAGAGGAAGAGATTGAAAATTTTGAAAAGATTGAATCACAAAATCCACCACATAAATGATTTAATATTGATAATGTTGTGATTGAAAAGTGCCGGCCCCGCGACACAGTGCGGCACGCCCCGACCGTGTAGGGTATAATCAAAAGCAAAGACAGCAACAAAGGCAGGCGTCCGTCCATACGACAAGCTGACAACAACACGGCCCGGGGTAGGTGAGGGGGGAGGAGAGCCGGGATCTGGACGGAGCTCTGGCAGGGCATGGCATGTGTAAATGACGCTTAAAATTGAAAAATTAAATGAGAAATTATTATGTGTGGCAGCAACGTGGATCGGGGAGCGAGCGAGGCGACAGGCGGAGACAGCTACTGCGGAGGGACTGGTGGCAGTGGCAGTGGCAGTGGCAGACGCAGAGGCAGAGGCAGAGCCACTCCGCTGTTCGCTGCCCGCTGGGACATGTGCGTTAATGTGTGAGTGCGAGGCGGTAGAGTGTCATTAAATTAATTTGTCAAATATGTATAAAATAATAAATTACCTTTTTGTCAGTTACTCGTTTATTAATTTGTACATGGCAACAACTTTTCGGCCTGGCCTGTCCTGTCCTGGCCTGGTCTGGCAAATGGAGCCCGAAAAAGGCGAAAAAAGCGGATCCCAAAACCAGGACGGGGCAGTGTCCAGAAGTCAACTAGCGTAAAAAATTATGATGTGTAAAAAGCATACACACGCGAAAATAAAGCGACGAAAACTGTGTGTGGATGAGGGATGTGGTACGGATGTGGCATGAATGTGGTCCTGGTGGCATGGCGAATCGGACAAATTGCCAGCCTGCTCATCGTGTATCATTTAATAGAAACCCGGAGCGATGCACGTCACATGTTTTTTGGGCATTTTTATTGCACGGCACTGGTCGAGAGCTGAATGATTTATGATTTATTCAATACTGGGACAAAAACGAGGAGACGAACTGCTTGTGTGACTCTCGGTCCTGTCTGTTGAATTATTTTTTAATGTGTCTATTAAAAAATACAACAGCTGCATCAACAACTGACAATGCAGCAACGGCAGCAGAAGCCGCAGCAGCAGCAGCAACAACAATGATTCTCCTACGAATTGCAACAATCAACAACGGTTCGTTCATGTCGCTGGCGGCGGTGCGGTGGTAGCTGCAGTTGGATCAAATACATAGTCCGGGGCTCAACACCGACTCCCCGACCGGCTGCCGTGTTGGACCTGGCTGGGTCTGGGATCGGTTTGGGGATTTGGCGCCGGCATTAACATGGAACCAATATAAATGGCATGCCAAATTGTAGTGGATGAACAAATTTGCCGCCTCATATGCGAGCGGGCAATAAAAACTTGTGGAGCCAGCGCCAAATGCGATTTGGGGGGCATTTGTTTTAAATTACCCTGGCGTGTAAGTGATGAACAAGTGAGCCTCCGCTGTCTGGGTCTACGTCTGTGAGAGTTGGTGTTAGCCAGTGTAACAACAAATTGAGCAGTCGGCCCACAACAACAAACGAATGAGGCCGCTCTGGCCCATCCCCATCCCTCCGCGCAACGCGCAAAAGTGGAGCATCGCCCTCGGCTTTGGGAGGCACAAGTGGATTTAGAAGGGCCAGCCCGTGATGAGCCATAAAACTATTGCAGTTATTTGGACTAGATTGCACGGCCGAAGATACAAAGACACAAAGACAGATACTTATGTGGGATAAACTGAATGCTCACCGAATAAATATTATTGCAAGCAGGAGGGGAAGGCTGTTCCTATG